ATTTTAAGTTCCGAACTTTAATTCAATGGATGCTTACGTTCCCACTTTAAGTTGCTATTTACCGTAACCAAGGTCGATTGCATTTTCGGCTAATATTTATAAAGTGTGTAAGTACTTTAATACCAATGGCTTACGTAAGATAAATAAAGCTCAACATTTATTTTAGTAAGCTATATTTGATTGAGTCCTCTTTCCAACTCTCAGTTTTCCCAGTCTTTCCAAATCTGTACAACTTGCGATATTTTTATGTCTGTGTTCTGATACTTCTAATAATGCTGAGTAACTGTGCCTTAAACTGAGCTTGAAAGCAGTGTCATAACGCCGATTTTTATAGCTGCGCTCAATATTCACCGATCTTGTTTTATTTATACAACGCAAAACGACTTCGCCGAGCAGTGAGCAGTAGCAGAATAGCTCAGAAACAGTCAAGGACATCTTGTCGTTATTGGGGATTGCAGAAAAAAAACAAGAAAGGACCTTGAAAAAGTCTGTTATTACAACTATATATAAGCTTTTATCGGTATCGAGCATCAACGTTGGAATATATTACGAGCTGTGTGCTTTGGAAAACGGAGGTAAACAGTGTGGCGTTTTTAAAAATGCGCGAAAAGATAAAGATGTTAGAAAGTAGATGAATGTGAATTCTGATTTATAATTGCACTATCTCAAGAAAACACAGACCGCGAGCGGTCGTCGTTTTTTCCTCAGAGCCGCGCGCGGCGAGTAAAAGAAAAATTATGCTAATTAATGGGAAAAAAAAGGGGAGAGATTTATTCTTTCCTCGGGCTTCAGCCCTCGTTCCTCGCGGCTTCGCCGCTCGCCCCTCATGCGTGCTCTCGATCCACTGTGATTCAAAAGACAAATAAGAGACTGCTCTCAGTCTAAGGAAAACGAAACAAGAAAGAGTTCTTCAATGAAGGAACAGTACCCTGGGTACCAGAGGTTTTTTCTCGCGTGCGGAGATTTTTCAGGGTCGGCCACGACTAAAGTCTGCGAAAGACGCTATTTGGGCGCTTTTCAGGCGAGCGAAGGCAAGCGCCAAGCGAGCGAGGAGCGCCCGACATGCGCGACGGGGGAAGGCGCAGAACGGTGGAAGAGCACAAACAATTCCCACGAGCGGCAAAGCTTTTCGCGCGGGTCACTAAAAATAGAAACCGGAAACCCTGCGTGAGAAGTCTCTGCAACCCAGGGTAAAGACAGAGTGGGAAAAAAGGCTTCTCCTCTCTGAAAGCGTTTAAAACAGAGAGAGAAGCATTTAACCGTGGGGATTCTATTACGTAATCCGTCTTATAACCGTGTTTTACCGACCTTCTCTAAACTGATAAAAAGTTATATTTTGTGATTCAGTTTTACCCTCGGTTCAAATCTTTATTAAGTTCATATAGGAGTGGCATACCGCATTAAAGAAAATGCAAAATTGAACCGAGGATGCTACTGAACCACAGCATACTCAATACCGTAAACAATGCGATTTGTCTTAAATCAAGAATACCACACAAATTCATTCACCAAATGAAGCAACAATGGTACCTTTTGTCTAACACGTCACGGTTCACAGGTGGCATCGTGAATCGGGGCATTCGGCGATTTTGGGGTTTTGATGATAACTTTTACCCTCCTAAAAACCATCTACTCTTGAGAGCAGTCCATTTTGACTTTTTCTTCTATGATTTTCATTGTGACTGGTTATAAGTTCTCAAAAACTAAGGCGTGACATTACGTGTGACCGCATCATGATTGCAGAACAAAACAAACAATGACTTGCAAATTTTATAGGATATATATATAGCAGACGATCGGCATTGCAAACAAACATACTTTCGTGAAAATATTTTTTTTAATCATGATTTTCTTTCTTTAAGATAACCACCATAAAATTGTAATGGATTCCCAAATCCAGCGCTCATTTCCATAAGTACAATTTCAGTTCGTTTGACAGCTCAATTCCCAAACAAAAGATTCCTCTGTTCGAGTGCAAGGCAAATTCTATGTATACTATAGTATCTTACGTTTATAGGTCATCGTAACAGAAATCGTAGCATGAAGGAAGCAGTTTTGGTGAAGCAAAACGAAATATACCGAAGATTTTCCACGACGTGGAATTGAAGAAAATTTAAGATTTCCGCTTTCAGACGCCGCGCAGTTGACAATCTCGCTTTACAATCACGATCTATTGAAGATGAATGCTGATTCCAATAAAACGCTTGCAGCAGTTTAATAAAAGATATTACTTACCTTGTTGAAGTTCAATATTGCAGATAGAACTCGCTGATAATGCAAGACCTAACTAAGGTTAGGTGACGATTTGTGCACGGAGCTGCCAAAAATCGATCGCGTCATGCAGTCAGCGATACGTGACTCAATAACTGAGGAGTACTAGGGGCGAGTTTTTCTATGGACAGGGTGAAGCGTTAACATTTACTAATTTCTTGCCGGGTAATGGGCTGCATCTTTGTCACCTACTTCTGATTGTTGGCAAAAAGCTTTGATTGGGTCTTAATAATTGGTAAACAGCTCTATCAAAGAACTTTGGCATTAGAACAGTTGGCAAATTTCTTCTGAATGGGGCTGGAAGAGACAATCACGATGCATCGGGTTAACTCATTTTCGGCCACGCTGGGAACAGTGACACGACTTTAGCTATAGATTGGCTATCGCTACCAGTCTTCATTTTAACATGAGCATTAAATTCTAATGCTTTTTGTTAAATGGAGTGGATATGTTAAGCTAACAGAAAATCGATATGAGGTCTCCATTAAGTACTATTTTTGTTGTACAATGTTTCGTGATCATAACTGAATAATGTGAAAGAGTAACATCATGAAAATCAATCTGCCTTCGACTATTTTCGTCTCTTGTAATTCAATTTGATTCATTTTAGTTGGACTCAAGCCATCCCAGTACTCGCTAATAGATAACGTTCATGGAGCGGTATCCCTAAGTGCAGCGTTTTGTGACTTTTGGCGGAAAGCCAAACGCGCAGAGGGCTTACTGTGATACTTACGTGTATCAATTAAAACGTAAAGCTTTTGTTCAGCAGTGACCTACGCACTGCAGGTCATTCTGACGGACGGCGTAACTGGACGTCTACAGTTAACAATACATCTCTTTTGTAAGTAGCAAGTAGTTTATTTCCTCATTTTACCTGATGAATATCTTACCAAAACGGAAATCTTTCTTCTGTTCATTCTTGTACAAAGCCGATCTGAACAGTTATACTTCTTTCTTCCCAACTGAAGTACGTCCATTTCATCTGGGGCCGGTAGGCGGGGTGGTCACATCTGGTACGATGAGCTCCTGCAATCATCAAGCCTCCAAAAACTTTTCAAGGGATATCTTAACGCCGTGGTTAAAGTTTTATTTCACTAAATTTTAAAACTCTAGCCTCTTCTTTTTTAATTAATTTACTCAATCAGACGATGGTGATGGCAGTTGTGGTTAACAGAATTCCTACTAGCATATTTATAAGGCTTCTGCCAATCACGGAAAGTTTAAAAATATCACTGTGGTGGTCCTAGCAAGAATGTTTTGTAAATCTACAATTGTTTAACATTTCTGAAACGGCTTAGTCAGAATTAAAAATGTCTGTCATGAGGTACAAGCCGGTATCGATTGGAAAATAAAGCACTGTATAGTCTGGTTTGCCACAGGATCGATGTCCCGCTAGGCGGGGGTGAATAGAGAGAAAGTAGACAAATAATATCAATGCAAGCAGGAGTAATGTGTCTCACATGCAAACTAACTAAAGGAAAAGTAAAAACGTTTAAGTTCTCCCGGCCCGGCTGTCTAACTCAACTCCAAGTCTTTACGTAAGACCCTTGAGATTATTATTGAAATTATGGACACCAATGTTTTAACAGAAAATTGACCAACAATGTTGGGACAAAATCGTTTTGTCGTTTACTTTTTCAAGGATTTGCTGTCTGCGTCGTTGGTTAAGTTTCTAGTTTCTGAGACAAGGCTTTGAGATTTTCTTGGCTTCATTCTTTCTCAACAATCCAACATGCCTTTTCACATCACCCTTTGTAAATGATGGAATCGCTGATTTCAGTTTTAAATTTTGAGTCTGTGGATGAAATCTTGCGATGTGACCATTCAAATGAAACCTCTTCAGCGGCACTTTCAGTTGCTGTTATTTGCTTCTAAGCATTTTACCCCCCCCAAAAAAATTGGAAATTTGGCCTTATTTTGAGTATGGCCACTTCGAGGATTGAAAAGGTTTCATGTGTAAGTCATGCCTGGGCATATCATGCTAGTAACGTGCTACCCAACATTGATCAATAAAGAAATAAGTTTTTCAATATCAAGTTACTTTGTATAGGGATTATTTGAATGACTTTCGTACAAATCCGGTAAACTAATATTTACAAACTTCAGTGGAGACTCGAAGGAGATCAATGCGTGACCAATTCCCTTTACACTAGTATTGGGTCGCGAAACGCCCTTCTCGATCTCACGTTCGGGAAGCTTTATTTTCTCACTTTTCTGCCTCATAAACTTTCGTACAAATTTCTTTCAGCCACGTTTCATTTCCTAAAATTTTTCTTTAGGCCCGTTTCTCATCGTCTACCGAGCCAATTTTAAACGTTCCGTCAAAAATTCCTTAAATGACTGATCCCATTAAAAACAGTCATGAAAATTAAAAGTCAGTTTAAAACTGGTATTTATTTTCTGATGACATTCAGTAATTAACAGGATGAGTATCAGGGGTACCTAACGACGGTTTCCTCCTAAAGACCGTTGAAAATACGGCTACCCAAAGTACTTTTAGACCTCTAGAAATGCATTCTAAGGGGCGCTGAAAAAATTTGTATCTGTTCGGTCATCCTAGGGGAATTTGAGTCTTTTCGAAATTACAAGGGCTTGAGTATTATTTTCCCAAAAATTTTAGATGCAATTTGTCGTACGAAAGTGAGACATTTTCTGATTCCTCTCTCCATCGCATTTTTGAATCCTTTTCTGTTCATTAATCCTTTTCAGGTTGTATTCGCTAGTACAAGATGGAAGAAGAGCCAGAGCGTGAGTTAAAATATGGCTGGTCTACTTTCAAACCCAGATGGCTGCAGATTGTTAACAATGCCAAATGCTTTCTCATGGCTTCTGTGTTTATTTGCATTATTCAAGGTTCGTCGGCTGATCATATTTTCTGTTTGCACCTCGGGGAGTATCCCTTCGATTTTCCGCGACTCTAAATCTTTTTCAGGGAAGATAGAGATGAATATTTGACCCTGTTCCAAACATAATTTTAGTGATCCACACTCGACCGTGTAGCTCTAAGAAAACGCACTCACTGTGCTTGACCTTGTTACTCTTTCCCAATGTTTTCTTTTGAAGGCCTGAATCTATATTCACTTTTATGAGAGCAGGGATCATCTCATAATATTTTAATTCTCGTTTCGAAAGCCCTTCGCTTCTTTTTGATGAAATTAAATAAAGCCGAGTAGTTCTGGTGACGAGAATGTTGTGAATAGAGTTTTCACTCACGTGGCCATTTATTGGAACAAAAGAAAGGGAGAGTTGAAAAAACTGACCCCCACTCCGCGGACTACCCACTGACCCCACTCCGCGGACTACTCTACGGACTACTCCGCGGACTACTCTACGGACGAGTCCGCGGACTACCATGCGGACTACCCTAACTAATCAACCAAATTTACTTTCACGGAGAAAAGAGTTAGAAGAAGCGTACCTGCCTACAAGATCACACTTGATAAACAGCCGCCATCTTGATTTTCGCCATTTTACTCGACCCAGCTCTCCTTTAGCCTCGCCCCAGTCTTCATCGGCCACAAGTCAGAGCACGCCGTTCAGCCAATCGATGACCACTATTGGCGCTGGTAACAGTTTTTGTTATATTCAGCTTAAAAATGTTTTTAAGAACTTACTTATAGCCGTGCTTGGAAGTCACCATATTTTTGGATTCACCTGGCCCACAAGGCCCTTGGAGACGTATTCTCCTACGTAGGGCACGCAGTCGTTATTTGGATCGTCACGCGAGGTTTGGAGAGAAGCGTTGCGTGACGATCCAAGAACGGAAGCTGCAATGGACGTAGCAATGAAGAAGAAGGGCTGGGTCGAGTAAAATGGCGAAAATCAAGATGGCGGCTGTTTATCAAGTGTGATCTTGTAGGCAGGTACGCTTCTTCTAACTCTTTTCTCCGTGAAAGTAAATTTGGTTGATTAGTTAGGGTAGTCCGCATGGTAGTCCGCGGACTAGTCCGTAGAGTAGTCCGCGGAGTGGGGTCAGTGGGTAGTCCGCGGAGTGGGGGTCAGTTTTTTCAACTCTCCCCAAAAGAAAGCGTTTGCATAAGAAAAGAGTTCAACTCCCAGGATAGGTTTGAAACACCAACATGGCCGCGCTTTCATTGTTTAGCCTACACCAATATGGTCGCCGTGACGTCATGTGAAAACACTCTATTATCTTTGTTCGATCTTTCTGCACGCTTAAACTGAGAGCTGCTTTCCTCACTTTAAACAAGTAGCGTTCAAGACTGATCCCGTGTGAACATGCTACCGTACCTCCGCCCGTTAACGGAAAGCATCCAATTGGAAACTGCTCCTTGTGAACATAACTTAACAAAAATAGGAATCAAACCTGACCCCTAATGTAAAAGTCCGTTTCTTACAGAGAAATGCAGATAAATGCACTCTCGCTTCCTTTGGGGACTTTAATACGAGTAGACCATCAACACAAGTCGAAAAAAGAGAAAAGAGATTGACAGAAAGAAAATGAAGTTGGTTGACTTACCTTCAGGCAATTTTTAGTAACATCATGTCCATATGAGTCAATTAACGTGAAGCGTGAGGCTTCTTGTATTTGTTTATTAACAGTTAATTTGTCTTGTTTCTTATTCTTCATTAGGTATGACTGTTGGTGGATTCACAAATATAAGTCTTCCCGCGCTTGAGAAACGTTTTCAGTTTAACAGCAAGGAACTTGGTCTTATTGCTGCTTCCAACGACATATCCTCTGTATTGCTCATCTGTTTTGTTAGTTTTTATGGGCAGTTTGGAAACAAGGTTAAGTGGCTGGGATATGGGACTATAATAACAGGTTTGTGCAGTTTGGCGCATGCGTAATAACTCCTACTACAAGGAGAAGAAGTTATAGACTTAATAACTGAGGAAACTTATCGATTAGTGAAATGTATAGACCCAAAAGGCACCTAAGGGGAACATGTAAGGGAAATCGTATTCCAGAATCCGGGAAATGTTTGCTTGTGGAATCCGGAATCCTAGGCTTTGGAATCCGGGTTACTGCTCAAGGAATCCCACTAACGATTGGAATCCGGAATCCAAGTTCCACTGACTAAGACTGGAATCCAGTACCTGCAATCCGACATCCACGGCTTGGAATCCAGAATCCAAGAATGTCTTGGTTCCCATGGGGCGAATGGGTTAGAAAAAGAAACATATTCTTTAATATACATGAGTGTGAGTGTTTTTTTTTTCTGCTGAAACTTTTGCATGTCATATAATAATTCCTCGGTTAAGTAGACTGTGAGCAATGCTTTTTCAGTCCTGAGTCGAGTTGAGGTTTGGCAGGATTACAGGTATACCCAACAAATCGAGAGAGTGACTGGAACGGCCTCATAACACTGGAATTTTCGAAGATCAGTTCCTTTTAATTTTCCAAGCCGAAAACCTTTCCCTTTGGTTTCTTGATTCCCTTACTCCGGCGAAATCAACATCTGTTGAATTTTTTTCATAAGGCTTTCACTTGCCCAATCCGGAATAATCTTGTAAATAATTGTGACGGTATTGTGCAATAGAACATGAGCAATGACCTCTCGCGGCTGAAAAAAGTGAAAATAGTTATGTATTTTTTTCTTAGGGATTGGTTGTTTTACGTTCGTTCTTCCTCACGTTATAAGCGACACATATCAGCCGAATTTAGAACACACCGGCTCGCGGAAAATCGAAGAATGTGTGGTCAGTAACACCACCGGCTTAACGAGTAAGAGCTGTTTCTCTGGATACGGATCAAACAAGTTTTACCTGTTTATCTTCTGCTTTGCCCAAATAATTATGGGTGCTGGTACGACTCCGCTGTACTCACTTGTGCCAGCTTACATTGACGAAAACGTGAATCCAAAAACCTCACCTGTTTACTTGGGGATATTTTATGCGGCTGCCATAACAGGTCCCGGGCTTGGGTTTGTGGTTGGTGGCGCAATTTTAGGTGATGTTTACATACACGTCAAACAGGTGGGTTGACTGATAAGACCACTTCATCTCTTATGTGATCCCCGCCAAAATTCAAGGAGTATCTATTCATTTCTGTATGTCGCTAAATTGTGGCCATTAAACGTTTCGTTCCCCTAGCAAATTCTGTCCTGTGTTATCAAATTCGACAACACTAAATTCTATTCCGTGTTTCTAATTTCAATACTGATATAACGCCAAATTCGATATCTTGACATCACGTTCTGTCACACCAAATTCTTTGCCGTGATTTCAAATTCGTTTGCACCAAATCCTATGCTGTGTGCCAATTTCTATAACGCCGAATTCGGTCACACCAAATTCTGTAGGACACAATTTTTTTTTACTCTTATACGTCAAATGGCATTAATAGAGAGCTTTACAATCAAGTTAACGGCAATCCTCGATTTATACCACGTGGCAAGTCCTTCCACACGTGCGCTGTACAATTTCTAATAAAACTCTCTAATGTCTGGTTGCTGTCACGCATGCGTTAATACCAATAAGGAGCAAAATGTTCATTGTCAGTCACTAACAGTGTTAAGTAAGAATCACTCCAACTGTCAGTAAGTCAGACTCGGGATTCGTCCTGACAAAGGGCTATCGCGCGAAACATTGGTGATGAATTGACCAATACTATTAACTCGTTTGGTGTTCAGTTCGAAACCATCTTTTTGGCCTCCTTCCTCAGCAACGCAGCACCTTTATTTTCAGATAGTAAGATAGTATGTTTAAGTTATATCATACTTTGGTTACTTCTGCGCTAGTTTTTTTTACCACTCTAAAGGCGTTTCAGGATATTTTTTTCTTGTGCAGTTTAAACAGTCTTAAGATTGCAAAATTTTAATAAAAGGAGTAATGTGACGACATCGTGATGGCTGGGAGCAGAAAAGGCACAAGTTTTAAAAGTATCTTTGAAGTTCGGAAGCTCTTAAGAGGTGAGAGCTCCTTCAATCAGTGACCCAAGAGACTCGAAAAAAATGGAGTTCTCAACAGAAGTCGGACCTATGAGTTCCTGGTTACTGTACTCCAAACGTTCTATACCGCTGATCTACAGGAAACCATGCCAGCAGTGGGAACCAAGGCATTAAACTAAGTTAACATGACAGACATCCCAAGACTGGGATGTCTATAGGTCGCTGATTCGAAATAATATAAATGTGACAGTAAATATTAAGCATGATAAATAAATAAGAATGATGTCGTCGGAAGTCTTTTTTTTCGGAACTTTCGAGGTCACCAGGTCAAGGTCGGGGTCGGAGGCCACTGGCTTTTGTTTCTTTGCAATGCATATTATTGCCTACCCAAAGTTACTATGACTAGACTTCATGCTCTTTTAATAACAAGAGTAACAACAAGATGTCAACAAGTAACAACAAGATGTCTTTTGTTCATCTTTAGCCAAAGGGAGCCAAATTATCCCCAAGGGACCCTCAATGGATAGGGGCCTGGTGGCTAGGGTACGTCTTGTCTGCTGGTCTGATGATATTATTTGCAATTTTGATCCTTGGCTTTCCCCGCGAGTTACCCGGCTCAAAAGAGAAGCGTGATCAAGCCATCAAAGAGGGGCACTTGCCAAAAACAGATCTCAAGTTGAGACGAAAATTGAAAGATATCTTACCAGCTACCTTGCAACTGATCACAAATCCAACGTACCTGTTTAACACCCTTGCCCTCACTGCAAGTTCACTCTTTGGGGGTGGAGTAGGTCCCTTCATTGCTAAGTTTGCTGAGACAAACTTTGGTGTCCACCCCGCCGTTGCTGGACTGACGCTTGGAACAGTCTTTATGGTTGGAGCTGCAGGTACGTGCAAATTCAGATGAATACACTGTGGAATCTCTATTCAGGGCACACCCTAGCTCAGGACCAAGGCAGGTGTTCCCTGGATACTTGTTAGAGGTGTCACCTGAATTGAAGTTGGGTTGGGGATTGTTAATAAATAATCAACAAATAAAGTATATATTTTTTTATTCTGCCTCGGAATCTGCTGCAGTCATCATTTCAAGCAGCTAGGTAATGTACGACAACTCATGAATATCTTATCTCTGCGATATTGTGTGTCGAATTCCCACAAGTGTAGTTCAACGATTTAAGTAAAATACTTCAAGTTGTGAAAGCTTTTCCTTTCACTGGTTAACTAGCGTCTTAAACAGGGTATCTACTTGCACCAGAAGCGTTTAAAAGAGTGTGAAGGCTTGTGATGAACGGTCTACATTTGAGGTACCAACAATTTTTTTCCAAAAGAATCTAATCCATGATATTAGTTTGAAAAGTTATTTAATCCTGAAAGCAAAATGAAAAAAAAACAGGGTCATAAAATAAGGTCCCTCGTCTTAAAAAGGGTAGCGCGATAAGCAGTTTTTGTCTTAGGCCTGGTTCAGACGCTGTTCTTAACTTTTCATGTGCCGAACCTAGCTGAAGAAGTTCGACTCTGGAGCGACACTGGCGCGACATCTGATTCAGACGGCGCACCGTGTGTCGAGCCTAAGTTAATTTCGACAAAAGCTGTTCGACAGACTCTGTCGAACCTTTGCCGCACTTAACTAAAACTGCCGTATTAAATCGATTCAGACACCGCTCTTTTGCCGATCATTTAATCGATCATTTACGGTAATTCATCATCAGTTAGGTTCGGCACATGAGTGGAGCGACGTCTGAACCGGGCCTTACACCGGCAGGGTCAGGGCTTGCGGGCCTCAGCGGAACACCTCTACCTAAACTTTGATTTAGTGTCCCCCGGGTGTCATATTTAGTCAACTCTCGCCTTGAGGACACCCCACTACAGTCAACTCCCTTTATAGCGGACACTGTAGAAACCTCGAGTTAGTGTCTTCATTAGCGAGAGTCCGCAATTTATTTTTGCCTGGGATTTTACTGCTGTCCATATTATAGGGGTGTCCGTTATAATTGGGTGTACGCAAGGCGAAAGGTGACTGTATAACGGACAGCCCGATAATACGGACAGCATCAAAATCCCAGGCAAAAATTAATTGCAGACGTTTGACTGAAATAGACTCCCGCTAATGAGGACACCAACTCGAGGTCCCTACACTATCCGCTATAAAGTGAGTTGACTGTACAACTTTTCGATTTATTAGTAACAATCCGTGCTTTTCGCTTTCCTGTAGGTGGTATAGTTTTAGGTGGTTTTTTGGTCAGGAGATTCAGTTTAAAGAAATCTTGCAGACTCTCTGCCAAGTGTTGCCTGATTATCCAGCTGCTTTCAGTTTGGACATCGATTGCTTTCCTCATTCCCGGATGCGATGACATAAATTTAGCTGGAGTAGTAAAACCTTTTTACAATAGGTATGAACTGTTTTAAACTAAGTTGGATTGTTTTTATTTAATAGACTATCAGAGAAAATAAAATGTAAGGGATATTCTGGCTGTTTTCAATTTTTTATTCCTTTTATTAGGGACAAAGAATAATGAAGGGAAAGAAATACGGTAGATAATGATAATAATAATAATGATGATGATGATAATCATGATGACATGATGTTGACGATGATGATTATTATTATTGTCCCATTATGGCTCTTGGTTATTGTTATAACTATGAATTCCTCAGCTTCTTGAAAACGTTTCATGCTTCTATACCAACGTTAGCCTCCCCGCAGACGTCCGTTGGGGTTCGTTTGTCACGCATTAGAAATGAATGCGTGAGAAACGAACCCCAACGGACGTCTGCGGGGAGGCTATAGCAACGTGTAATATATACAATCGAGACTCTAAAGCTACAGAGTGACCATGTGTCCTCTTTCACGAGGGTGGCCACTCAATAAACTTTTGACTGTTTCACTTCCATGGCAGCTCTTTAATGGAAACGCGCAGCCCACTGGCTCCATGCAATATGAATTGCAGTTGTTCGTTGGCCAGCATGAATCCCGTTTGTGGACAGGACAAGCTGACGTACTTTTCGCCTTGTCATGCAGGATGCCAGCAAACAACAAGAACACAGGTAAGCAAGGTATATTGTTTGTAAAAAAAAATAACAAAATAAAACATACATAAAGGTAATATTAAGGCAAGGTTTCCCTGTAATGACTATGATGGTTAATAAATTATTTAAGCAATAGAAAACGTTTTCCGTGTTTGCATAGCCTGATATAAACACGAGAGGGGTTGGGAGAATTCGAGACAGTTATGCAAACCCGAGACGAAGTCGAGGGTTTGCATAACCGTCGAGAATTCTTCCAACGCCTCGAGTGTTTATATCAGGCTATGCAAACACAGGAAAAAAGTTTTCTATTGCTTTTATAAAATAACTTTCCCCAGAAAAAAAAAGCAAAACTCTTTGTATGGCTCTGATTAAAAGAGAAATTCTTACCAGGCGCAAAATCTTGTCCACGAAGTCTTGCACGCGTAATCAGTTCTTGTTTTGCAAAAAGATGCTTTGTAAAATATGGATTTTTCTCGCTTAAAATGTCAGCTTAAGCAAAGAAAAATTGACTCGCCTTCTTTGTAACGATTTTCCATGTTTCAGCCGACGAAGGAATGGGTAAATAAAATAGACTTGTCGAGTTTTGAACTCGAAAACTTTTTCAAATTCGTGCTTGCGTGATTAGCGCGCGAAAAGCCAAACAACTTGACGCCACAACCATGTTTACATACTCTCATGCAAACACTCCTCTCGGCTAATCAGAGCGCGCGTACTATCTTAGTTATTTTATAAAATTTATTACATGGCCGTTTTGGCGTTATTCTTCAAATGAATACAATAGAAACTCTCCCTCGCTGTGGCTCTCTTCGTCCCTCATAGTAAAGAAGTATCGATATGCTAATATTTTTCTTTCAGTTATATTTTGTCTCGATATTTTTTGTTGCTTTCGCCCTCGCGCTCGTAGCTTTTACTCAAAACTCATTCGAGCCACAGACCCGAGAAAAATTTTCATAATGCCCGGTCATTTCAAGAGTGCGCGTACTATTGCCGCCATATAATAAATTATAGTTCCAGGACTTCCATGTGTTACTAGTCCTTGGCGTAAGGACACTTCAAGCGCTAGTGTGTTCATTCTCTTTTTAAAAGTTGTAGGTCTCCGTGTTTTATTAGTGTGATATTTTTTGTAGTGATTTTTTTTTTCTTTATTTCTTTTTGTGCTCACTGGCTGATAGCCAGTTGAGCACAATGTCAGAACCCCTGTTAGTCCGTCCGTCCGTCCGTAAGATCATTTCTATTGTTCTGTAGCGCACGCCGTTAACGCAAAAATTTAGGACCAGAAAGTGCCTGGCTTGATACCTGCTATCGCTTTTTTTTCAACAATTTAATAGATTGTTGTTGTTGTTGTTGTTCTTCTTCTTCTTCTTCTTCTTCTTCTTCTTAAGCCCAACCATTTAATGTATATTTTCTCATTTGTTAACTCTGTACATTTCCGATATAAAAATCGGAATATGCTAATATATACTATAGAATTGGTGGATTGCCTAAGCCAGTCTGAGACTAATTTTTTTTGCAATTTCCATCCATTCGTAATTGCTTAATGTGTTGTTTGAGTTTTAGTAGCGTAATGAATGTTTTTTCAACCGTTGGTGGTATAAAATAAGGCTGTGGGAAAATGAAACACGCGAAACTGTCATTTTTAAAATGTCAATAAACATTCAATTGAAATGTCACAAATTGACATAAATTCAAACCACTAGCATTTTTGAAATTTCATCTTATGGTAACTCAGTTAATTTATCATTTCAAAATTAATTAGACTGAAAGAAATGAATTTGTAAGAAGTTAGTAAGTTTAAAGACCTTTAAACAGTCCAGATCAGCTTTCGATACTCGGTGCCGTCTTTTCTTTTCAAGGACTTTGCTAACTTCATATGCGTTTTTTTTCGCTTAAAATGAATATTCTTCAGAGACTTACTGACAATCAGGCCTTTGCAGCACCCTCCCCCGCTGGCGATTGACCTGAAGGCCTGTCAGCACATACAACAACGGAAAGTTAGCTCACGGCCTGAGCTTAACGATGACACCGACCAAGATGGCAAGCCCCTTGTTAAAAATTCGGTAGTGCGAATATTCTGTGGCATTTTCCAGCATGTTTTCAAAACTGATTCGGCTAGAAATAGATAAATACATGAATAAATGAGGAATACTGAAATAAATGTTTCCTGAAACTGTTACCCTATTTAAGATCAAAATTGTGAATTTCCTACTTTATTACCCTGCGCTTGAACCGCTGTTCTGAAGAACCGAATGATAACAATTCCAGACCCCGGTATAAAAAAAATACCGTGGGGATGGTAGAGGAATAACCATCAAAAACATCGAAAGGTGCTTTCATTCTTGATTTTAGGCATTCAACTGTAGCTGCGTTGATCTTGGGGGAAACAACACTCAAACCAGTTCAGCAAAGAAAGGTTACTGCGACCGTGGATCTGGATGCAAGAATTACAAATACTTCCTTATGATCAATGTTTTGCTGCTTTCGGCGGTTTTCTTGGTAGCGATACCAAACAAAACAGTGGTTCTACGGTAAGAAAGTATAGCATTACTAACGCTTATTCCGTCTCAGCTTGCAGCACTTCCACTAGCCCACCCTATGTTCGGTAGGTCGTAGGTTCATATACAGTTGGGGGCTCCAATTTTCTTCTTTTCCCACACTCGTAAAGTGTTGATTATAAGATCTTTTAACTTTTGTGAATTGAACCCTAGCCTGCGACCAGGGACCAGGCCTCGCTATATGAGGAAAAAATAGCAAAAACGGAGTGAAATAGCATAAAAAAAATCAGCGAGCCGAAGGAGCCGAGCGGTGGACTGGGAAGGGGTAGCCACCCTTTCTTAGCAAAGCAAGCCGAGCTGTAGTCTGGGGACTAACCGATTTTTTTCGCGCCAGTTTCTTCAACTACCTAGCCTGATCCTAGGCCAATCAAACCCTAACTTAAGGGAGTCCCGTACCTCGTGATGCTTAAATAAGCGCACCATTTAGCTGTAGAAGCTGGCTCCAACGGGACACGTTCCTGATGCCCTGCGAGTAGTGGTTTCTACAGGCCGGACGCTAAGCGTAGCGTCCAGCCACTGCTCGCAGAGTACGTGGCTGATATCTACACGTACGTACATATTCAGTCGTTAATATTCCATAATCTAACTCAGTCCATATTTGCCTATACCTTATTTTATTTCATCAGGTGCGTACCAGACAATCACAGGTCTTACTCTCTCGGATTTCAATTCATCTTCCAGCGGTCGCTCGGGTTCGTACCAGGGCCCATCATTTTTGGATGGATGTTTGATTCGGGGTGTCTATTTTGGGGGGAAAGTTGCAACAGACGAGGCCGATGCCAAATATACAACATGTGGAATATTGCAACGAAAATTACCATCTTTGGATTTGTAATGAAAGGTAAATATCTAGAGCGAAGGATAGACATTAAGGTTTCAGATGAGTCCGCTTTCTGATGAAATCAGCAATCCGCAAAATATTACAATACTCCGTTCTTTCAGGGTTGTTTCTATTATGACAAAACACTTACTAGTGTGGTTGGAAGATTACCTTAGTTTATAAATGATAATTAGTAACAAGTCACCCTTCTGAAGGTTTTTCGTTTTACTTCATTATGCATAACCAAACCTCGAACCTCGAAATTGACTTTAAAACACTACAAATTGCCAGAAAGACGATCCCAGCCTTTTGTTTTGTCCCACTAGCAACGACGACGGTGACAGCAATGAGAACAGCGAAAAAACCAATAGGTTTAATAACCAAAACAACAACTTTACACGTGCAACACACTTTGCACATTTCTTTGCCGTCGCTGCACGACTAGAAAATGCCTAATTTCACGTTTTGTCGAAGATGTAACACAAGACAACGACTTTCTTTTTCGTTTCCTGAACCCTGATACAGTCTTTTAGAATTCAAGTCAAGAAAGACGAATTGAACGAGATGGAATAAGCGTGATAAAGTTAAGTAACGCTTTTGCAGCCGTCGCGGTCGTGGTTTCTTATATAATAAGCTTGCTAATGTCCACAGCCTCAAAAGTTAGCACTGCATACTAAATAGTTGATACAACTGACGTGAAAGTACTGCTGAAGATGTTTCATTTGACTGCATGGTCACACTGGCATAGGATTTCATCCACAGACTCAAAAGTTAGAACTATACATACTAAATTAATATATAATACCATGTGAACGTACTGCTACAGAGTTTTTTATTTGAATCACAGACCAGAGGATTTCATCCACAAACTCAAAGGCTTCAACCACTTAACGAGACTTCATCATTCTTTCAAGGAGGCTTGGAGGATGTTATCCACCGAGGCCGAACTCGATCTGCATAATTCTTCATATCATACGGGGGCACCCAACGACAGTTTTTGGAAAATGTCTGTTCGGAAGACGATTTGAGATCTAGAATTTTCGGAACATTTGTTGTAAATTAAAATTTCTTGCTTGCCTGCCTCTCCTAGGATTTTCGAACATCTAAACAATGGTATAACTGCCCATTTTCAACGGATTTTTACCCTGAAAAGGTCACCTAGAAATTTCGGGAGCCTCTTTTCTGGCTGAAATTTTCGAAAAGGTAAGTTTTGATCCTTGTAATTTTCGTATTACTAGACTTTCAGCTAGGAAATCCGAACAGATGAGAAATTTTTAGGGGATAAAAATATGCCTATATCTACCGTTTAAATACTAAAATACGTTCAACAATGCTATGTTTAAGTGGTTTTGAACTATATTCTCGTTGGGTGCCCCTGATCAGCCTTGTTCAATATAATTGTTAAATCTTGGTGTATACTGTGTCAAGGTCTCTTAATAACTTTATTTCCTTTATTTTACTTTCAGGTATCTCTATACTTCTTTACTTCCTCTCTTTCTGGTTTTGCAAACCAAGTTACGACAATGAAAGTCATCACAGCAGCAAAGAAACTGGTCATGAAAATATGACTGACAATTCAATGAACGGTGATGCATTGGGTAGCACAGAAAGTGCTTTATAAAGTGTCTCGGCGAATTGTGGGGAATATTAGCTGGATAGACCATCTAGTGATCGGAGGAAGGACCACTGACCGACAGCCGACGCACTTGATCTGAATGTTGAGATAATGAAAGCGTCAAAGTCAAGATAAACGTTATAAAAAGCACTCAAGGTAGAGCAACAATAAGCCTATTTGATTGGAAATAATCAAGGATTTCATCAGATGTCAAAATTTAAAACCTATACCTTGCATTTTACATAGACAGTATTTTTCTCGCCACAATTTCACGATTTTCTTTACGTTATTTGATAAACTATACTAGAACTCATAGATGATGTAATATATCAAACATGAGATGCAGTGTTTCATCACCAGATGAAACACCGAGAAGAGAGTTGAAAATACGACGCGCAGCGGAGTATTTTTGACGAACTTCGAGGTGTTTCATCTGGTGATGAAACA